GCTTCGGGGGGCTGTGCTCCGTTTCCTGCAGCAGCAGCATTCTGTCGGCCACCAAGCAGAATCCACGGGGTGTCCCCTCACCAACCAGGGTCGGCTCAGGAACAGGAAAGGGCGCCATGGGGTGAGTGCGGGTGAGGCGAGCACGCGGAACAGGAGAGAGACGAAGTCCCTGTGGAGGGCGTGGAAGTCAGGGCTGGGCCCGGTTGTAATGCTCGTTCTGGGGGAGGGGGGGCTCGCACACGCCATGGAGAGGACCCCCATCTGCAGAATGGTTTCTCGGAGCAGATGAAGAGGGCGGGGCGGGAAGAGCCCTGTGGTGTTTGATCCCGTCACCAGGAATCAGGGAGGAGGAGGTTGGCTGGGGGGCTGCGGGTGCCTGAAGCGCTTATGTTTGTAACAGTCCCTGTTCCAGTGTCTGGGCTCTTTGCCGTCATAGTAGGAACTCGGGTTTTGGATAAGGGCCTTCATTGGCTGGACCGAAAAGGAGGAACTTTAACAGTTTTTTCTTTCAGGTGCCTCATCTTGGATGCGAGCAAGCCACTTGCCAAATTAAATCTGTAGTGGACATGGTTTCCCACTCCATGCTGGTCTTTTTATTTTATTTTATTAAATATATTTTTATTGATGTCAGAGAGGGAGAGAATCATTGATCAGCTGCTTCCTGCACGCCCCCTACTGGGGATCAAGCCCAAACCCTGGGCATGTGCCTTTGACCTGAATTGAACCCAGGACCCTTCAGTCCACACACTGATGATGCTCTATCCACTAGGCCAAACCAGCCAGGGCCAGAATTTTCTTAAAAACCATATGAGGTCAGCCCTAGTGGATAGAGCATCAGACCTCGGACTGAAGGGTGCTGGGTTCAATTTAGGTCAAGGGCTCATACCTTGGTTGCAGGCTCCATCCCCCCGCCCAGGTCAGGGCACATGCAGGAAGCAACCAATTGATGGGTCTCTCTCACTGATGTTTCTCTCTCTCCCCTCCCCTCCCTTCCACTCTGTAAAATTTAATGGAAAATTATCCTCAGGTGAGGATTAACAAACAAACAAAAAGAACAAAAACAGCCCTAGCCAGTTTAGCTCAGTGGATAGAGCGTCAGCCTGTGGACTCAAGGGTCCCGGGTTCGATTCCGATGAAGGGCATGTACCTTGGTTGTGGGCACATCCCCAGTAGGAGGTGTGCAGGAGGAAGCTGATTGATGTTTCGCTCTCATCGATGTTTCTAACTCTCTATCCCTCTCCCTTCCTCTCTGTGAAAAAAAAAAGAACAAAAAAAACAGTCACGCACGGGTTCCTGGGGCTCCGGCTGCAAGTCAGAACTGAGCTCCGATCCACAGGCTCCGGGAAAGGCCGCTGGGCTTGCTCCCGGAGGTCTCATCAGCCAGGCTAGGATTTTACCAACAACGTGTTTAAACCCGGGCACGTGCCCTGCCTGGGAGTCAAAGTGGCAGGGGATGGTGCTCAACCAACTGTCACGCCAGCCGGACAAGGTTTGTTTTTCTCAATCCCTTTCCGATGGTTACATCCCGTCTCCTCCGATGCCCAGCACGTCTTCACCGACTAGCAAATGAACGGGCTGACACAGATCAGGAACCCCGGCTGGTGGGTCGAATGTCCATGTCAAACTCTTCAAGTCTGTGAGGCTCCTCGGGCACCTTGGGGATTCCCGGCCACGGCTGGCCATTCAGCGCCAGTGCAGGGGGCGTAGGAAATCGCAGGCCGGGGGGACCCTCGGAGGGCGTGACTTTAAGTTCGGAGAATGGCACCTGAGGCTGGAGGCGAGGAAGCAGGTAGAGGAAGGTCAGCTGGTGCAGGAGATGGCGCTGGGGACGAAGGGCCCCAGGGCTCAGAGCTGGTCCCTGAGACAGTGGAGTGAGGGTGAGGGGCAAGGCAGTGCTGCGCTGGAGCCACCCCCTCCTTAAAAACAGCAACACGTGTCAATAGTAACCTCATTTTTTTTTAAAGTGTGTTTTTTTTAAATATATTTTTATTGATTTCAGAGAGGAAGGGAGAGGGAGAGAGAGAGATAGAAACATCAATGATGAGAGAGAATCACTGATTCGTGTTTAAACCCGGGCACGTGCCCTGCCTGGGAGTCAAAGTGGCAGGGGATGGTGCTCAACCAACTGTCACGCCAGCCGGACAAGGTTTGTTTTTCTCAATCCCTTTCCGATGGTTACATCCCGTCTCCTCCGATGCCCAGCACGTCTTCACCGACTAGCAAATGAACGGGCTGACACAGATCAGGAACCCCGGCTGGTGGGTCGAATGTCCATGTCACACTCGTCAGCAAGTCTGTGAGGCTCCTCGGGCACCTTGGGGATTCCCGGCCACGGCTGGCCATTCAGCGCCAGTGCAGGAGGCGTAGGAAATCGCAGGCCGGGGGGACCCTCGGAGGGCGTGACTTTAAGTTCGGAGAATGGCACCTGAGGCTGGAGGCGAGGAAGCAGGTAGAGGAAGGTCAGCTGGTGCAGGAGATGGCGCTGGGGACGAAGGGCCCCAGGGCTCAGAGCTGGTCCCTGAGATAGTGGAGTGAGGGTGAGGGGCAAGGCAGTGCTGCGCTGGAGCCACCTCCTCCTTAAAAACAGCAACACATGTCAATAGTAACCTCATTTTTTTTTAAAGTGTGTTTTTTTTGAAATATATTTTTATTGATTTCAGAGAGGAAGGGAGAGGGAGAGAGAGAGATAGAAACATCAATGATGAGAGAGAATCACTG